CGCGGGCGGTGTTCAAGGCCAGGTTGGATGGGGCTTTGGGCAACCTGGGCTAGGGGAGGTTGTCCCTGCCCATGGCAGTGGGTTGGAACTAGAGGATCTTTGAGGTCCCTTCCAACCCAAACCAGTCTATGATCCTATAAGAATGTATTTAATTGAATTTGAGAGCTCTGTGGGAGCTGAATGTGTGGCACCAAGTCAATCAATTCTTCTTGTAGGTTGGAAGACATGTTACCAGTGCTGCTGGTGGTCTCTGCAGTAAGCCTATAGAATGCGTAGGCCCCTCCTCATGCTAGGGGAGGGTGCTTGGTTGTGTTCCCAACTGCTGTCCCACTCAGACTCTCCTGATCTAAATACCCTGAGCCATCAGGAGAAGGATCACCTCTTGGCTATGTGGTGGTTTTTGCTCTAGGAATATATGTACGGCCATGCTGGGCCGTTTCAGAGATCCATCTGGTTGAATGTCCTATTTTGATGACCAATAGCTGATTCTTCACACAAATCACGTGGTGTGGGCCATGTTCGCTGTCATGAGCAATGTAGACTTCTGTTCCTGAGCTCCTCTTCAGTGCTGCTCTGATTCAACTTCAGGTTAATCTTCTCCCCTTTTTCTTTAACTCAAACTTGAATGCACGTCACCCCAATGAAGAAAGTGGAGCCGTTCAGTGTTCCCTCCAAGAAAGTGGAGCTCCCATCTGCTTCACCGGCAAAGAAAGCTGAGCCAGCCGTTGCAGAGGAAGATGACGATGATGACATCGACCTTTTTGGTAGTGATGATGAAGAGGAAGACCAAGAGGCTGCCAAAGTCCGAGAGGAGAGACTGCGTCAGTACGCAGAGAAGAAGGCCAAGAAACCGGGTCTTATTGCCAAGTCTTCTATCCTTCTGGATGTGAAGCCAGTGAGTAACTGAAGTGGAGGAGCTCCGAGTGAGGTGATAAATCGCCTCACTTCCACATCTGAGTGGACTGGTGAAAACAGGACCTGCAGATTTCCAAATGAGAGGTCAGAGTGAGGGGGGATTTTTGCAGCTGGGATCTGTAGCCCTTGTGCTGCACTGTGGCAAATGCAGGCTGTTATCTGAGGTTCCCCTGCCCATGACTAGCCTTTTTCTTTGAAAAGACAGATAATAAATGCCCTAAAGATGGGAATAAACCTGTTTTTGTAAAATTGTCGTGGTTGAACAAAAACTCTGGGCTGGCTAGTGCTGTGAGAGATGCCCTTGGTAAAAAGTCACTTTAAAGTGAGTGCTCCAAAGTGGTTGCGTTGCTGCAGGAAGAATCCTCCTTGCATCTGCAGTGCCTATAGGTAGAATTGAAATCACGTGCTACGCTGCAAAGTCAGATTTCGCTTGGCTTCACCATCAGCTAATTCTGGTGAAGAGTCGCCAAGAAAGGGCAGCTTGGATCAGCCGAAATGTACTGAGAGGTGTAGCATTGAATTTTAAATCGCTGGATACCTCTTGGGGCTATTGGTGATCTTTAGGAAAACACTAAAGTTCATACTTTGTGTTTTTCCAGTGGGATGATGAGACTGATATGGCGAAGATGGAGGAGTGTGTCCGCTCCATCCACATGGATGGGCTGGTGTGGGGAGCCTCCAAACTGGTCCCAGTAGGTTATGGCATTAAGAAGCTCCAGATCCAGTGCGTAGTGGAGGATGACAAGGTCGGAACAGACATCCTGGAGGAGGAGATCACCAAGTTTGAAGACTACGTAAGTCTTGCAGCGAGCTGTGTAATTAATGCTGGGTGATGCCTGACCTGCAAGGTCATTTTTAACTAAGATTTGTTTGCAGATTTTGGCAAACTTGGATTTTTAAAAGAAAAACGCATGGAATTGATGGTGTCTGCCTGCTGAGACACTTGCATAATGTATTTAAATACACTTTTTTTAAAGCTGGCTGATGCAGCTATCTTGCAGATAGTTTGTAGAGCCATTTTGTAGGCTCTTGCTGCTCATCCAGCCCCCGCCGACGATTATTTTGGGGAACCCCAGCTCTTACACTTAGCCTGGGCAGCACCAGGGTAGACATACAAATGTTTTAACCTTGGTGACTGAGGCTGGAGGAGATGTCTCAATCCCCATCCTTCCTCCTTCCACGGAAATGACAGTAGGAGCTCCAGCCCTGCGCACCACAGCCAAGGAGCTGACCTAAGACCTGGGCCCTCCTTCATCTGTTTGAGCATTGCTAGTGCATGCTGTGAATAAATCCCCCATGTGAGTGCTTGCTTTGTTGTGAATGTCTGAAAACACCTTGGTGACCTGTAGCTGCTGCTTTTGTTCTGTTTCAGGTGCAGAGCGTTGACATTGCTGCTTTCAACAAGATCTAGAAGCAAAACTGTATCCCCTTCTGAAACTGTAACTAATAAAGATCAAGATTGGGAGTGCAGATTGAATAATGGGGTGGTTTTTTTCTCTGCCAAGTGCAACTTCTGCAGAGTGATTTGTTGTGACACTTGGGGATATATTTCCCTTCCTTGTCACCTTCATAAAAGGAAAGGCCTTGAGACAGGGGTGACCTACATTTCTAGGTTGGAATGACAGTCTGAGCAGCATCCCGTCTGGGTAGCCTGTGCTCTAAGGGTGTTGCAATCACCTTTCCCAAGGTAGAGTCCCCAATCAGTCTCTACAAAAAAAGCCCAGGATGAATCACCAGGAATTGCAGGTTTGGGGCTGAATTTCCTCCCTCTTTTCCCCTTGCTGTTCTTGATAGTCCTGCCACAGGTCTTCAGCTGATCATTTGGTTTGTAAGGAGCCAGGGCCGTGCTGAACGGTGACCTGTGGAAAGAGACAGGCCCCGTTTCTAACCATAGGCCCATGCAGTGCGTCGCAGTGCCAGAGTCCAAGGTCCAGGCGCAAGTTGCACAAGAACACTGAACACAAATGGGGAGTGCTGCGGGGTTAGCGCTGCAAGCCTGGGCCGTACGCGACAGCCAAGCGATGACGACGATGCCAGTACCAGCTTTCCTGGCTGTGCGCAGTGCCCTGTGATGATGCGCGGATGCCCCGGGGAGCCTGGTGCTGAGCGGTTGCCTGTGCATGCTGTGCTGGGGGGGGTGGGGGTATGGCTGGAGCCTGGCTGCTCTGTGGCTGGCGTGCTTTGCGGTAACACAAGCACCGGGCCTGGTGTGCCCCTTGGGGCTGGCGTTGGCGTACACGGCGCTGGGAGCGACGCGCACGGTGCCTTGTCTGCTGTTGGTTTGGCCGGTGTTTTGTTAGGCCTGGTGTATGGGGATGCTGGTGTGCGGCGTCTGCCCTGTGCTTGGTGCTGGGATACCCTGATGTGCCTGGTGTTGGCTGTGTGCCCAGTGTCCCCTGCGCTGGTTGTGCTTGGGACTCCCATGTGCACATTGTGCTGTGGACTGCTGTCACCAGACCCCTGCCTGCCAGTGCTGGGGTGCTTGGTGTCCTCTGGGCTTGGTGTCCCGTGTGCTGCCATCCCTAGAGCCCCACGCGCCTGCTGCTGGGCATGCGGTGTCCCATAAGCCTGGTCCCAGGTGCTGCCCTGTGTCCCCTGGGTGCTGCCATCCCATGTGCCCTGTGTCCCTTGTACTACTCCAGCCCGTGCCTGGCACATCCCGTGCTTGCTGTCCTGTGCACCCCTCTCCCTTCTATGGCCTGTCACCTGGGTCTGGGTATTCTGTGCGCTGCCCTGCCCCAAGTGCTATATGTCCCTTAAGCCACCAGTGTCCCATGTGCCCCGTGCTGGGGATGCGAGGTGTCCCGTGTGCCTGCT